AAAAATCCCCAACCCAGACATAAGAGCATAAGAACGGCCATACTGGGTCAGACCAATGGTCCATCTAGCCAGAATCCTGTCTTCCGACAGTGGCCAATGCCAGGTGCTTCAAAGGGAATGAACAGAACAGGTAATCATCAAGTGATCCATCCTCTGTTGCCCATTCCCAGCTTCTGGCAAACAGAGGCTAGGACACCATCCCTGCCCATCCTTGCTAATAGCCATTGATGGACCTATCCTCTATGAACTTATCTAGTTCTTTTTTGAACCCTGTTATAGTCTTGGCCTTCACAGCGTCCTCTGGCAAAGAGTTCCACAGGTTAACTATGCATTGTGTGACAAAATGCTTCCTTTTCTTTGTTTTAAACCTGCTACCTATTAATTTCATTGGGTGACCCCTAGTTCTTGTGTTATGAGAAGAAGTAAACAACACTTCCTTATTTCTCCAAACCAGTCATGATTTAATAGACCTCTATAGTATCCCTCCTTAATTGTCTCTTTTCCAAGCTGAAAAGTCCCAGTCTTAACTAACTAAACGGATCTAGTTAGCTGTACATTGTGGGAAAAAATCCCTTCCTGACCCCAGAAAGTGACTGGCTGAAGCCCTGAAGCATGAGATTTGATTACAGTCATCTTAATGTAGACAGTCTCTGTCTTTTTGCAATCATGGAAACAAAATCAGTTTAGAAGCTGCTGCCATGAGGATTTAAATCTGGCCCATCTGTGTCTGATTTCAGCATGTTCATTGGAAACAGAGTGTCTGCAAATTTAAAACTGTTTTTGTGGGGGAAAATACTTTCCCACTGCAACAATTAATCCATGGGACTCACTGCCACATGATTTTATTGTGGCAGAGAGCTCAGGAGGAATTGCATAGGGCCTGGATGCTCATAGGGCAATCGAGACATCCCGAGAAAAGATTAAAAAAAAGACAAGCAAGCCTTTTGGAAGGGCTTTGGAGCTTCCTGCTTCAAGCCACAAGCTGCCTGCTAACTAATGGCTTAGTGACACTCCAGGAGCTCAATCTATTTAGTTTAAGGCAGGGGTTCTCAAACTGGGGGTTGGGACCCCTCAGGGGGTCGTGAGGTTATTATGTGGGGGTCATGAGCTGTGTGCCTCCAGCATTTATAATGGTGGTAAATATATAAAAAAGTGTTTTTAATTTATAAGGGGGGATCACACTCAGAGGCTTGCTATATGAAAGGGGTCACCAGTACAAAAGTTTGAGAATCACTGGTTTAAGGGATATATAAACTCCTTCACAAGATGCATGCGCAGGGGAGTGTGTTTGTGTGAATTATGCACACAGGACACACACACACACACTGCTCTGTAGACAATCTCATGTGTGTATAATAATCTTACCTCTTATCTAGTACTTTTAATCAGATTTTAAAGCACGCTACAAAGGGGAATGATATCATTCTCATGCAGCCACCTCTGGTGTGGGCCACTGGGGCTGTTTATACAGAGATCCCTTTTGCCCAGCACTGAAATGCAGCTGCAATTACCCCTATTTTACAGATGGGGAAACTGAGGCACAAAGAGGGAAGACTTACCCTAAGTCACCCAGTAGGCTGGTGGCAGAGCCAGGAATAGAATCCAGGAGTCCGGATCTCCAGTGCCATGCTCTACCCACTAGCCACACTGTGAGGTCCATATGTAATATTCACCTCCCTGTATGATGATGCACAGAGGATGGGAGTCTCACAGCCCCCAGCTACCCAGCCTAGTTCTGTAGCTCAAACTGTAATGACGCTGTCCTAGTCTAAACTAGAAAGGATTTGTCGGTATTGCCAAACCAGTACAGTCATGCCGGCAAACCTTCCTAGTGGAGACTCTGCTTATACCGGCAAAACACTCCTTATACCGGGTCCCTGAGCAAAACAAGCCACTGACAAAAGGACTTTTTTATCATAATTATCAGTGCTCTCAGTCTGTTTGCTGCTGTAACCGTATCTGCATTGGAGCTTTTGCTAGTATAAAATGTTAACAGATCTCACCCGTGACATTGCTTTTACCAGCAAACGTTTTGAGTGTCGATCTGGCCTCAGTCTTTTAACTCGGGAAATCCCCAGTTCAGTCCCTGGGCTCAGCCAGGATTGTGGCTGTCCTGCATGTGTGTATTTTACATACACACTCCCCTGTATGCACCTCTCGGGCATATACACAGGGAACAGAAAGTACCTACTTGGGGACAGAAGTTGGATAACATGAGGGCTCTTCAGTTCGGCAGTCAGAGGTGTAACGTGATCCAGCAACTGGAAACTGAAGCTTGCGGAATGCAGATCGAAAATAAGGCAACATATTTTTACCAGTCAGGGGAATTCACCAGTGGACCAACCGTGGGTTGTGGTGGATTCTGCATCACTGGCAATACTTAAATCAAGATTGGATGGTTTTCTAGCAGATCTGCTCTGTCCCGGATGAACTAATTCCAGGCCAGCCTATCTTATATATAGGGCCCTACCAAATTCAGGGTCCATTTTGGTCAATTTCACTGTCACAGGATTTTAAAAATCATGAATTTAATGATTTCAGCTATTTACATCTGAAATTTCACAGTGTTGTCATTGTAGGGGTCCTGACCCAAAAGGAGTTGGGGGGGGGGTTGCCTTCAGAGCTGGGCAGCTGGAGAGCGGCGGCTGTTGCCCGGGAGCCCAGCTCCGAAGGCAGAGCTGCCGCCAGCAGCGGTGCAGAAGTGAGGATGGCCTGGTATGGTGGTGCCACCCTTACTTCTGCGCTGCCGCCTGCAGAGCTGAGCCCTCGGTCAGCAGCCACCGGTCTCCAGCTGCCCAGCTCTGAAGGCAGCAATGCAGAAGTAAGGGTGGCATGGTATGGTATCACCACCCTTACTTCTGTGCGGCTGCTGGTGGGGCGCTGCCTTCGGAGCTGGGCACCTGGCTAACAGCTGCCACTCTCCAGCTGCCCAGCTCTGAAGGCAGCACAGAAGTAAGGATGGCAATTCTGTAATCCTCCTACCATAATCTTGTGACACCCCCCCCCGCACCTCTCTTTTGGGCCAGGAGCCCCAGTTTGAGAAACGCTGGTCTCCCCTGTGAAATCTATATAGTATAGGGTAAAAGCACACAAGAGACCAGATCGCAGTGGGCCCGTCTGGCCTTACAGACGATGGACACACTATCCTACTCCACTGTACATACATGCATGATTGTCATCTGCTTTGCAGACAAGCAGGACACAAAGGCGGTTCCTGACGGCATCCCAACTTTGATGGCTTTTGGGGAGAGATGGGGGGGTACTGGCCCCAGGGGTCAGTGGGGAGGCATAGCTGGGTTGTCTCTGGAAGGGGACGGGAGGAAAACCTTGCTGCCTCCCAGACTCATAGTCCCCATCCCCTCCCAGAGCTGCAGCTAGAACCCAGGAGTCTGACAAGTCACCAAATGTTTCCTGAAACTTGAATGGACCTGCATATGGAGGCAGCAGAGCCCGGTCGGTGCATAAAGCACAGGACTCCTGGGTTCTTTTTGCCACCTTGATGAGCTGTGTCACCTTGGACAGGTCCCTTCCCCTCTCTGTACTTCAGTTTCCCCTCCCATCCTTTCTCTGTGTCAATTGTTAGATCTCCAGAGCAGGGACTGTCTCTCACTGTGTGTCTGTGCAGCGCCCCCCGTGACGGGGCCCAGCACGACTGTAATGCCCGTAATTCACAGAGATGAGAAGTCCCCATCTAGTTCCATTCTGTCCCCTCCGCTCCAGCACCCAGGGCAGGATTGTCCCCCAGGGCTCCAGTTCTTTGTCCTCTGTGTGCTGGGCTCCTGCCACACCCCTGGCTGGGGGGCTGTCAGCCCAGCCTCTGGCCACAAGATTCCCCGCACAGAACAAATGTCCTCAAGGGAAAAGAATTGTGTTCTCTGTGCCCCTCCCTCTGCATCCCAGCAGCTGCAGCATGCTGGGAGGGGGCATGGATCCTAGGGGACTAGGGCTCTCCATCCCCGGAGCTGGCAGTCCCGGGATCAGTGGATACGTATGGGGCAGTGGTTAGAATATTGCCCCCCACCCCTCATTATTTCCACTTTAAAAACTTAGTGCTGAAACAGGCAGAAAACTCCCTTCAGGTGCCCTCACTCCTGACCCACAGCCCCCTGCTAGGCCAGTCCTGGGCCCCCCCAACAGCTCTGTTGGAGCTCCTGCCCCACAGCCCTCTGCTAGCCCAGCCCTGGGTTACTCCTCCCCTCCCCCACCACCTGTGGGATTTGAGTTGATATGAAATACAGATTCTGTTGTTCTTCCTCTTCCTAAATTGCTGCCTCCCTTGGTCCCTGCACAGGCCCCATAAATCACCTCCCACTAGCAGTGCTGCTGGGACAATGGCACCTGGTTAATGAGTGAGCTGGGCCCCTTGGGAACCAGGGTGCAGCTCCCAGCTCTGCAAACAGAAACCGAGGGCACTAACTGCTGGTCTGAGCCAAGCTGGGAGCCCCTGGGCTTGGCGGAATCAGGCTGCAGACCTGGAGGCCTTAGTGTGTGCCGGGGGGGAGCTCAGTAGGGGGCGCTCTCCCCTCACAGTCTGTGCTGGCCCCAGCCCAGAGATGAGGGTGCCATGCCAAAGGGAGCGGGCTGGGGGAGCTCAGTAGGGGGCGATCTCCCCTCATAGTCAGTCCTGGCCCCAGCATCCCTGCCTGGTGCTAGGGTGCACGGTGCTGCAGATGCACCCAAGGCTGTGATGTCTTCGCCCAGCAGAGGAGTGGGGAACTGGAGGGCAGCGTCAGTTGCTTGTACGTGACAGGGCAACCGGCTGCCCTCAAGCGCCGGTCAAGTCCCACTTCTGGTTCTCAGCAGCTCGGTCTTCCCAGGAATTCCCTGTTGGAGCCTTTGTTCCATGGAGGTGCTCTGTGGGGACTGGGGGCTCAGGGCCCTGCCTGGGAGGTGGTTGGGGCACCCAAAACCACGGCTCCTCTCCCAGAGCCAGTAATGAGACCCAGGAGTCCTAACTCCCAGTCCACTGCTCTAACCACTAGTCACCATTACTCTCCTAGAGCTGGGACTTGAACCCAGGAGTCCTAATACTTACTCCGTGCTGACCTGCCTGCATCTCCACTGGGTCAACACTCCCGACTTACGCTGGTATAACTACATTGCTTAGGGATGTGGGAAATTCATCCCCCTGAGCGACACCGTTAACCGACCTAACTCCCAGGGCAGACTGAGTCAACAGGAGGGCTTCTCCCACCAACCACCCCTACCTCTTGGGGAGCTTGAGTACCTACGCCGACGGCAGATGCTGCAGCGCTGGAAGTGTGGACGAGCCCTACATGATGGTGCCCCACTCCCTCCCCACTTGGAAGGATTTGGGTGTGTCGCTGGGCAGGGTCCTTCACAAACGGGCCAGGCCCTGATCACCCCATGCCTGAAATCCACACAGATCACCTGGCTGGGACAACATGCACCAGGGAGAAGGCAGGGGATTGTCTTCCCAAAGGAAGCAACCAGAAGCCAGGTGCCTGGGGGTGTTCAATGGGAAAACCCTGTGTTGTATAATTTATAAACAACCTCCCACGATCCGCCCCAGAAGTGGCTGTATCTCAGTGCCAGGCAAGGGATCCCTTAGGTGTGTTTCTGAAAGATGTGTGCTTGGGAGGGGACGCTCTCTGTAACAGGGTTTGTCTGGTGCTTGCTGTTACCGAAAGTTGGAGGCCTCTCTGGTCCTGTAGGAATGACGTGTCTAGTGTGCGGCCCATTCTACAGCTGCTATAAAAAGCATGCCTCATTTCATCCTCCAACGAAATGCAGCCACTTCTAGGGTGGAGCATAGCAGTGTACAAGAGCCGCACATCAACGCCGCACAAGGGTGTCTGGGGCGAGTAAGAACAGCTGGAACTGCCAGTGCATCTAGGGAGAGCAATGGAATTACCTGAGCTGGAAATTCCTCAGGACAGTGGGGTTGAGGGGTCAGGATCAGCACAGTGTCCCCTAGTGCTGCACGGGGGCATCTGTGCCAGCCCTGACTGCAATGGGAGAGAGCCTGTTTCCTTCAGCACTCTTTATTTCTCTTGGAGGCGTGCCAGCTGCATCCTGACCTGGCAGTGCCTGCAGTCTGGGTGCCCTGTGACAATTGGGAGTGGTGCCAGGCTGGCAAAGGCCCCATGTGAGTTATGGGAAAGGGCAGCACTGTGTGGGAGCTGGGACTTTGCCACCTCTGGGACAGGATCTGAGATCAGGAGCTTTTAACTCCCGTCATGAGCCCCCTGCACTGCCTGCCCACTTCCCCAAATCCTCATGCTGCCTGGACATCAAGGGGTGAAATAGCCCTGAGTGGAGCTGCATGTCACTTGGCATGTGAACCCCCATGTCCAGGACACCTCCCACCCCAGAAGATTCCATTCTACCTCCCTGAATAACCCCCTTCTGTTTTAACCCCATTCACCATTATCTTTTATTTCTAATTCCAAATGACTGTGCAGCTGCTAGCCAGCCATGTGCCTACCCCAGAGACAGTTGCATCTCACCCCCACTCTTTCCCCTGGGGAAGCATGAGCCCTGTTGCCGGTGGGCAAGTCAGGATTCTGGGCAGCAGGGGGCAGCACGGAGGACCTCATAGAAGCATGTAATAGGCATGGGGAGTGAGAGTGGAGAGGATGAGGTGCAATACCAGGTCTGTACACTAGGTGGAGCTGATTGATGGCAAGAGAGCTGTTTTCTGGGTTGGGAAAATACCAGCGCCCTAGCTGCATGCTGTACCTGTGGAACTCCCTGCTGCAGGAGGTTGCAAAAACCCTGGCTCTGTCATGCCAGTAACCACTCCCATTCTTGCCTTTCAGACCTGCTGCCACTTGCCTTCCTCCAGCAGGACTGGGGCCTCCAGGGTGAGTCATGATTCAATTTGTGTAACTAAACTGAATGTAATTAACAAAATTATGATTGTTAATAATGTATTTCACTAGCAGCTGCCCTCCAAGTCTGTTATGTCTTTTGAAGCATTAGTCCCTTGCAAAACCATCTCAAGCACTAGAGATTATCCCCGTAGAACCTAGGAGTCCTGGCTCCCAGCACCTCCTGCTCTAACCCACTTGATCCCACTCTCGTCCCAGAGCCAGGAATAGAATGCAGGAGGCTGCTGTGCTACAGTGAGTGGGGCAGAGGTTCAGTAGGGGGCACTCTCTCCCCAGAGTAAATGCTACCCCAGTACCGCAGCATGTCTCTAGGGTACGCCGTGGTGCTAGAAGTGCCATTCACTGCAGGAGACACAAGTGTGACACTACATCTCAGCACCAGGTGAGGGATGCATGTCTAAACAGCCTCCTTACCCCTCCCCAGAGGCGGCTGCATCTCAGCACTCTGGGATCCTGGTGTCAGGGGTTCCCCAGCCTGGCGGGGTGGGAGTTGGGATGACTCATTGTGGACTCTGGATTAGTCACATTGTGAGGTGGATTCCTGCAGTGGAAGCTGCAGTCGGTGGCTGTGCCCTGAGTGACAAGGTTCAAGCCTGGCTCTGGATGGAGATCTCCTGGGGACTCCATCTCCTCCCTGCAGGGCTGCTGGCCTAATGCCAGCGAAGTGTGACATGGGGGGCTGTACATACCACTGTTGTGTTAAAGCTCCAGTCAGGGGAAATCCACAAGAGGGAGTAGCTGCCCCAGACTTGACAGGCCTGTGCTGAGATGTGGGGGCTGTTTATACAGGGATCCCTTGCCCCATGCTGAGCTGCAGCCACCTTGGGGGTGGGGAAGGAGGGGTGCATAGGGGCTGTTCAGAAGGACTCCTGGGTTCTGTACAGTTCTGAAAGAAGAGTGGGATCTAGTGGATAGGGCAGGAGGGACTGGGAGTCAGGACTCCTGGGTTTTATTCCCTAGTTTGGCCACTGACCCAATCCATGTGCCTCAGTTTCCCTCCATTGGATTTACGTCCCTCAGGCTAAACCCATTGCTGATTGCAGAGGTGTGGGCACAGGTGGGTGATGCCAAGGGTGGGTCTGTCCATTGCTCATGTCTGTCTCTCTGTGCCCTCAGACCCTACCCCCAGCAGCACCCCCTACGTGGAGATCATCGAACAGCCCAAGCAGCGCGGCATGCGCTTCCGCTACAAGTGTGAGGGGCGCTCGGCCGGCAGCATCCCCGGGGAGCACAGCACTGACACCACCAAGACCCACCCCACCATCAAGGTCAGCCCCTGCCCTGCCCCAGTGCACCTCTCCCCCACACTCCACCTCAAGATCAGCCCCTCCCTGCACTCACAGACAAGGTCTTTGCACCTCCAGTGCCCCCTCCCATGCCCCCTAGGCATTCCCAATCCCTCACTTCTGGGCGGGTGGCCTGGACCCCCTAACGAAATCTGGGGGGAAGGAGCACTGCCTAAAGGATAGAGCAGAGAGCTGGGAGCCAGGACTCCTGGGTTCTATCCCTAGCTCTGGGAAGGGAGTGGAGTCTCGTGGGACAGAGTAGGTGGGGTGAGGGTGAGCTGAGAGCTAGGTTCTCTCTCTGGCTGTCTTGATTTGCTGCATGACCCCAGAGTGTGCTGCTCCCCCACTCTGTGACTCAGTCCCCCCCCATGCCCCCGTGAGATTTGAGGAGGGTCTCTGAGTGTTAACACTCCCGAGCTCCCATGTGGAGCAGGACCCCAACAATGCCTGATGCCAAAGGCCCCAGACCCCTGCAACTGCAGGTGTCATGGCTCATGGGTGCGGTGAGTATGGAAGGTCTCAGCCTGATTTCCAGTGGGAATGGGAGGGAGGGGCTCCTTTCCAGCCTTGCTGAGGATCCTTGGAGCCCCTAACCTCTGCCCCCTTCTCCCACCCCCAGATCAATAATTACACAGGCCCCGGGAAGGTTCGTATCTCTCTGGTGACCAAGGACGCCCCCCACCGACCCCACCCCCACGAGCTGGTGGGCAAGGACTGCAAGGACGGCTACTATGAGGCTGAGCTTTCACCTGAGCGCAACATCCACAGGTGAGCCCGGACGCCTGGGTTCAATGCCCAGCTTTGGTAGGGGCGTGGGGGTCTGCTGCAGTAGAGATGTGGGGCTGGAGTCAGGACTCCTGGGTTCTGTCCCTGGATTGGGGGAAGGGTGGTTGTCGAGTGGGTTAAAGCGGGGTGGGGAGCCGGGCATCAGGACTCCTGGGTTCTATTTCAGCTTTGCTGCTGATTTGCTTTGTGGGAAATTGCAGCACTACGATGGGAGGGGCCTGACCCAGGATCTCTCAGCAAGTCGGGCAGAGCTGGGGACGGAATCCAGGGGTCCTGCCCCCCACCCTTCCCGGGGCTGGGCTGGCACCGTGCAGGGAGGAGCGGTGGGTAACTGCTGCCTGCATCTCAGCTTCCAGAACCTGGGCATCCAGTGCGTGAAGAAACGGGAGCTGGACGAGGCTGTGGCACAGCGCATCCGCACCAACAATAACCCCTTCAATGGTGAGTGGGGGACTGCCTGGGGGTGGGGCAGAACCAACCGCAGCCCCTTCGAATGGGGGGGGGACTGCCTGGGGGTGGGGCAGAACCAACCGCAGCCCCTTCGATGGGGGGGGACTGCCTGGGGGGGTGGGGCACAACCAACCGCAGCCCCTTCGATGGGGGGGGACTGCCTGGGGGGTGGGACACAACCAACCGCAGCCCCTTCCATGGGGGGGGGGACTGCCTGGGGGTGGGGCACAACCAACCGCAGCCCCTTCCATGGGGGGGGACTGCCTGGGGGTGGGGCAGAACCAACCGCAGCCCCTTCCATGGTGGGGGACTGCCTGGGGGGGTGGGGCACAACCAACCGCAGCCCCTTCAATGGGGGGGGGACTGCCTGGGGGGGTGGGGCACAACCAACAGCAGCCCCTTCGATGGGGGGGGGGGACTGCCTGGGGGGTGGGGCACAACCAACCGCAGCCCCTTCAATGGTGAGTGGGGGACTGCCTGGGGGTGGGGCAGAACCAACCGCAGCCCCTTCAATGGTGAGTGGGGGACTGCTTGGGGGTGGGGCAGAACCAACCGCAGCCCCTTCCATGGGGGGGGACTGCCTGGGGGGGTGGGGCACAACCAACCGCAGCCCCTTCGATGGGGGGGGACTGCCTGGGGGGGTGGGGCAGAACCAACCGCAGCCCCTTCAATGGTGAGTGGGGGACTGCCTGGGGGGGTGGGGCACAACCAACCGCAGCCCCTTCGATGGGGGGGGACTGCCTGGGGGGATGGGGCACAACCAACCGCAGCCCCTTCAATGGTGAGTGGGGGACTGCCTGGGGGGGTGGGGCACAACCAACCGCAGCCCCTTCGATGGGGGGGGACTGCCTGGGGATGAGGGAGAACCAACCGCAGCCCCTTCGATATAAGAGGGGGCCAGAGCCAGTAATAGCCCCTTCAGGCAGTGTGGGAGGAGGAGAAATTGCCCAGGCAGGGTTGGAGCCACGGATCCCGGGAGAGGGGAGGTGGGGATGGGGATCTCAGCCACCCTGTGTGAGCCTCATTGCCCCTCTCTTGCCCCCACAGTGCCCCTGGACAACCAGAAGGGGGACTATGACTTGAACGCCGTGCGGCTCTGCTTCCAGGTGTGGGTGCAGGACCCTGTGGGCACCGGGCACCTCGTCCCGCTGTCCCTCGTGGTGTCACAGCCGATCTACGACAACCGTGAGCCCCGGAGGGAGGGAGCCGGGCCCAGCTGCAGGGGTTGGGGGTGGGGGTCACCAGCATAGCAGCGGGGGAGAGGGTACCTTGGGGAGGGTCCTTGGCCCAGAGATTGGGGAAGTTGGTGGGGGTCTCTGGAGCGGCAATGGGGGGTGGTACAGGACAATGGAGGGGCTGAGGGTTGCAGTGGGGAGGGGGTCCCTAGCACATGGATGTGGTGGGGTCCAGAGGAAGAGACTCATGTGTGCCCCCATGTTGGTTTGTATTGGGGTCCCTGATGATTTAACTGGGAATTGGTCCTGCTTCGAGCAGGGGGTTGGACTAGATGACCTTCTGGGGTCCCTTCCAACCCTTAGATTCTATGATTCTATGACTCCCCCTTCCACTCTCCAGGAGCCCCCAACACGGCTGAGCTGAAGATCTGCCGGGTCAATCGCAACTCGGGGAGCTGTCTGGGTGGGGATGAGATCTTCCTGCTCTGCGACAAGGTGCAGAAAGGTAAGTGCTTGGGGGGGAGCCGTGAGGCTGGGGCTTACTCCCTGAGGGTGTGGGTGCAGGCCTTGGGCTCCTAGCGTGTGGTGGGGGGATGAATGGGTGTGCTGGGCATCCCCAGAGGGGATGAGTACAGAGGTCCTCTTGTTCCATCAGGGCACAGTTGGCTTTATCCCCAAATGCTGGATCTCCAGTCTGGCTCCTCCCACAGGGATGGTGACTCCAACCCCACCCCACTCCCATACACTCCCACCCCCCAAGCAGCTGGCTCCATTGCTCTTTGATGCGGAAGCCAGTGGTTAGAATGGGGCGGCCTGGGGTCTATCCACAGCTCTGGGAGGGCAGTAAGGCCTAGTGGTTGGGAGGCTGGGAGCCCAGACTCCCGGGTTCTATCTCCAGCTCTCCCATTGGTGCCTGCAGCCCCCTCACCTCCCCTTTGCCTCCCCCCAGAGGACATTGAGGTCCGGTTCTTCAAGGACTCGTGGGAGGCCAAGGGCTCCTTCTCGCAGGCAGACGTGCACCGGCAGGTTGCCATCGTGTTCAAAACCCCGCCCTACCAGGACCAGGCGCTCAGGGAGCCGGTGACGGTGCAGATGCAGCTCCGGCGCCCATCTGACAAGGAGGTCAGCGAGGCCATGGAGTTCCGCTACCTACCAGATGAAGGTACCAGGGGGGCCTTTCCTCGAGGGGGCGCCAGCTCCACCCTGGCTCGAGGGCAGCGGGACTGGCTGGCTCCAGGGGTGGGGAATGTGACCCCACCCCGGGGCAGGGCGGAATCAGCCCCCAGGGATAAAGGGCCATGCTCTCCCCTAGGTGACTTCCACCGCATCGAGGAGAAGCGCAAGCGAACGCGGGACACCTTCAAGAACTTTGTGCAGAAAGCGCCTTTCGCAGGTGAGGCCAGGGGTGGGCGATGACTCTTAACGGGCAAGGGGGGCAGAGTATCTAGGGGGATGGGGAGGAGATTGTGGGGGGTCTCTTTGCTGGGAGGGGGGAAGGGGTGGTCTCTGAGCTGGGCAGGGAGAGCCTTTTAGCTGGGAAGGGGGCTGGGAAGGAGGGGCTCTTTGGGGGAGGGCAGCTCAGGAGGGTGGGTGGCTCTTGAGGGGCAGGGGTGGGGGGGTCTTAGAGTTGGGCTTCAGGCACCTAAGCCAAGGGGGGTTGAGGGAGAGGAGACTGAACCTGGTTGTCTCTAGTACGAGGGTCGGGGGTATGACTGTGGTGTTGGGAGGTGGAGCCCATTAGTCTCCTACATGGAGGGGGAACTGAGGGTGGCCTCGCTGCTGTGGGGGGGTCCTCTGCTCTGGTGCCCCCCCATGTTACTGACCCTGTCTCTCCTCCCAGCAGTGGTGGTTCCGGAGTCACGCTCCCCGCGTCGGATTGCTGTCCCTGCCCGCACAGCTGCCATGCCCAAACCCAGCCTCATCCGACCCAGTATGAGTGGTAAGGGGGCTCCAGCCACTCTACGCAGGGTGGGGAATGGGCCTTTCCTCTCAAGGGGGCACCAGTTTGGGGGGACTGCACAATCCCCCATAATGCTTCTCTGTACCATGCTGTCCTAGAGGGGAGGCACTGGGGTCCCTGCCCATGGGATTGGCCCCCCCACCTCCCAGCACTAACCTCTCCCTTCTCTAGGTCTCACCGGAATGGCGGGCGCCATGGGGCAGCTGCCGACCATCCAGAAGCCGCAGGCCACAGCCCAGCACCCCCCCTTACCCTTCACCGGGCCCAGCCGAGCTCCTCCTCCTCCCACCCCCCAGCTGGGCTTCAGTACAGTCAACCTGGAGGAGTTCTCCAGCCTGGGCATCTCAAGCCGGGCCCAGCCCCCACCCCCTGCTCCCGAGGCCGAGCCCAACTTTGACCCCTTCTTCCACCTGCCGTTTGAGGGCGGGGGCGACTCAGTCGCCATGGAGCTGGGGGCCTTGCTGGAGGACACCACCTACACCAGCCTGGAGTCCATCAACACTACTGAGTTCCGGCAGCTGCTGAGCCAGGGGTCGTCCACCGAGGGTGCTGACGGGCACAGCATGCTCCTGACCTATCCCGAGTCGATCACCCGCCTGATGAGCAGCCAGCGTGGTGTGGTGGGCGTGACAGGGGAGGAGCCACAGGGCAACGGCGGGGGTGGGGGGGCCAGCGGTGCCAACAGCTTCATCAACGGGGTCCTGGGCGGCCTCCCGGAAGAGAACCTCACCTCCATGGGGGATCTGGACTTCAGCGCCCTGCTCAGCCAGTTCAGTTCCTCTTAGTTGGGACGCTGGGAAAGACGGACTGACGGTGACACCCCCCACCTGGCTCTGCGCAAGGGACTCGGGGGGTAACTGCTCATCCACCGAGAGCCCTCCCACCGGGGGGATCGGACTCTGCCCTGGACTCAGTCAGCTCAGGTCCCCCATCCGGCCTGCCTGGGCCTTGTATTACTGGCTTCATTTGGCTATCAATCTCACTGTCCGCCCACCCCATGCCTCCCCAGAGCCCTGCTCTGTATCCCCCCCCACTCCATCCCCTGCACTACGGGGGGTCTCCCACTTGTCAGGCTGAGGGGGCAGCGCCAGGGGTTAGTTCCCTCCCCTGTTGCAGCGGGAGGAGCAAAGAAGAGCCTGACCCTCTTTTCACAGGAATAGAGGGGGGAGGAGCAGACAATGGACTGATCCATTGTCAGGACTGGGAGGGGACAGGCTTCACCCATTATTCACAGGAGGGAAGAGGAGGGGAGTGAAGCTGCCCTGAGCTTCTGGGTTCCTTCTGCTCTGTCCTCCCTTACCTGAAAACTGTTGGCTGGGGTGGGGGAGCTCTGCCTTAGCTCCTGCAGCAGCTCTGATTGGCTGCCTATCCCCATTCCCAGCCTCCTGGGGATGGGCAGCCAATCAGAAAGGGTTCCCTCAAGGCAGGGCTGGGGGGTTCTGGCATCCAGACCGGCTCTGTGTTGTGGGTGTATTGTGGGAGGGGGAATTCTCCTTCCCACCCTCAGAAGGTGCCTTAGCAGAAGCAGCATTAACTCCCCCCACCCCTTTGCAGCTGGGGAGTGTGAACAGGACCCCTCCCACCCAGCAGAGGGCCTGTGGTGAGCTGTGGGAGACCCAGCACCCCCTTGCTGGGGGGGTCTCCTCCCCCTGTTGCACATTGGCTTTGAGAGCTCTGCAAGCTGTGTAAGGGGGATGAGGGTTGTTGCTGCACCTTGTTTCGGGGCATTCTCCAATTCTTGTATTATAATGTGCCTTGCTATGCGGTAGGAAGGGGTGGCACTGCCCCTCCATGCCTAGTGCCCCTGGATCTCCCCATCCCTGCTCCATGGCTCAGAGGACTCAGCTGGGCCTGCAGTTGGGGTGGGGGCAGTGCCCAAAACAGCCAGCAGTAGGTGCCCTGTTGCACAGAGCACTCTTCCAGGTCTGTAAAATGAAGCTGGCCCTGCTAGGTGTCGTAAGAGAGGCTATGAACCTATCAGAGGCTCTGAGCTACTCCTCCCGCTGGCACCGGCTTGCAGCAGGAAGGCCCAGAGAGTAGTGCTACAAAGCACCTGGGCCCATCACGGCCTCCTGCCCCTCTCTGCATTCACCATTGCAGGGTTTGTATAGCGTTCCTCACCCTATATTTTGGCTTCCACTGTCGTTTGTCTTACTATTGGCTAAATGTAGCTGGACGGTTTTAACCGTGAGTGACACGTATTATTAATGTATTTGCTATCTCTGGGGCGCAGGGACTTGCTTCCGTGCCCAGTTTTTCCGCTGACTTATGTTCCTAATAAACCTGAGTCAAAGCGCAGCCCCCGGCTTCTTATTGGCAAATAGAGATCTGTTCTGAGACAGTCCATGGAGGGCCTTGACCTCCTGGGTCATGAAGTCCCATGCTATCGCAAACCACCCCATCAGCAGCAGCCCCTGCCAGCATTCAGCTGCTTCCCATTCCCTCAGCATCGCTCCCAGAATTGAGCTGGTACTAGTGTAGCTCCAGCACCTCCTGCAGGGGCTGCCTGGGTATGTCATGGGTGTGTGAGTGAAGCCAGTTGACGCAGGGGGGAGAGTGGGCCAGGTCAGAATTGTTATCTTGACTGTGGACTGGATCTTGCTCTTTGAACTGGAGTGACTCCAGGTGTGGGGGTGAAGTTAGGGCCAGATCTTTCTCACTGAACTCAGAGCACCCCTAGGAGTGTGGGTGAAGTTAGACCTCAAAACTTATGCTCTGGCCTTTCTCTGAGAGAGATTCTCTCTGAGAATCCAACATGTCCCCCATTGCAGTCAATGTCCTCGCTCCAGATCTGGCTAACAGGTCAGAATCTGGCCATACACCCTGGGCTGTGGGGAGCAAAGAGGCTTCACCCTGTTTTTGCTGTTCTAAGAGGTGGCCAGAAAATGGTTTAAAACAAAAAGACTTGCTTAATTGTTAGCCTTTAAATTATGGTCTTGTTCCCAGGGAGGAGGGGGATGGAGTGTGTGGTAGGAATGTGGTGTCATAACACTGACCATTCACACTCCCCCCTTCCACTTTTAAGCCAATTTAATTCTTGTTTTGTGGAAACACTTCATCAGAAAACCCCTTGTTCAGGACTCACCCCCACCCTTGTAAGAAATGCCAGATCAGCCCCATCTAGTCCTAGGTCTGGTCTCTGATAGCAGCCAGAACCAGGTGCAAGAACCTGCCAGTAGCAACTGTGACATAATCTGTCCTATGAAAGTCTCATCCTGCCCCCTAATTTTTGAGAGCAACTTAAGATGAAGCATCAGTTTAATATCCCATAGTAACTGGCTGTTCTTATCCAGATAAATGGCCACTTGCTCTTTCAGTCATAAATTTGCAGCCTCAATGCAGCCCTCTGATAGAGTTCCCCAGGCTAACTAGACCTAGAGCTTTGCTGTTCATCAGTTAGCTCTTTGGGCCACAAGCCAGAGCAAGCCAAAGTGCCCCACTGCCACCTCTCCCATAATTTTATATCCTTTTCTCCCCTCTTGAAGATGAACGCTCCTGACCTTCCTTCCACAGAGTGTTTTCCTACCATGCCTTAGATTGTTCTCGCTGCTCATCTCTCCTCCCCCTTCAATTCTGCAGTGAAATTTGGTGGGAGTTCCCATATTCCAAGGGCATCCAACCTGGCATTCTAAAGCAAATCCTCTAGCTGCCTGGCTGATGGGTCTGGCCCAGTTGCACAGGGTCCATCTGATCACCAGATTAAGGGCTGAGAAGGAATTTCCCCCAGGTCAGATTGGCAGGGACCTTTGGGGTTTTCACCTTCCTCTGTGGCATGGGTCACCTGCTAAGATCATCTGGGCATGTTTCACATCAATTCCCTGCCATCACAAGGCACTTGTGAGCCCTGGGCAGAGAACAGGGTCCCCAACAGATTAGTCTCCTGAGGACTGAAATGATTTGGTCTAACTCAAGTCACTGGAGTCGATACAGGGGTAACTGGGTGGAACTGAATGGCTTGTGATAGTCCAGAGCATCAGCCTGGATGATCTAATGGTCCCTTCTTGCCTTGAACTCTATGAAACATAAAGTAGAAATCCACCACTCCAGCTTTTTTCCTCTCAACTAGCCAAAGAGCAGAGGACAAGGCAGCAGAAATGTGTCCCAGGTCCACTGTGACTTATAGGGAACATAATGGAATGGATCCACTGGTGGCTCAGGGGGAAGATGATGGGTTGGTCTGGTTTTGGGGCAGGGGGTCTCTTCCCCAGCTTCTAGACCCCAAGAATTCAGAGATGGCTCTTGGCCCAGTGTTGAGCTTAAAGCTGAAATCCAAGTAAGAAACTACAGGGATCCCTGTTCCCTCTCCCTGCTTCAACCCTAATGCCACTTAGCCCCCAGCCCAAGTTAGTAACAGGCATGGTTGGGGGGAGTGGGGGAAAGAGCACGGTTGTTGTAGTACTTTTGTACTTAATTGGGCCATCTTGGAGGTGCCATTACCTGTTCAGAGGATGGGGTGGGATTGGGAATCAAGGCTCCTGGGTTCTAGGCCCAGCTGTAGGTGGGGAGACAGAAGTGAGGACTGCTGGGCTGTGGATGCAAACACACCATCCAGGGTTGTAACTAAAGGGAACTCCCAGCCACTAGGTGTCAGCTCATGCTCCTCCCTCTTCCAGCCCATCATTTTGGATGCTGGTGGTGCCACCTGCTGGCTAATGCACAGCCTATATATTACACTCAGTACCCCCTCCCACACACCCTCACATGCACCCCTCCAGGGACTCCCTGTTTGATTCTTCTCCCCCCATTATCCTGCAGAGGCATCTCTGCACCAGGCTGCCTTAACCCCCGTCATCAAGCAAGAGGCTAGGGCTGTGTGAGAAGAGCTTTCATATGTCCCACAGCAAGGCCCTCCTCCAATTTTCCCTCCCCAGCAGGAGGGCTGCTACTTGCAGGGACACAGGACATGCCCCTCCCTTTGCACAGAAGGGGGGATGCTAATGGTGCTTGGGCCACCCAGCTGGCATTGGACCTGACCCACCAGGGTGTTGTGGCCTCTTTACCCCAAGAAACAGAACCCGATTCAGTGGAGAGTTGTTTTTATTAATCCTGTTTACAGCTCAAACACCCATTGAACAGCTGGGAGAAACATCCTGCAGGAAAGACCCAAACCCCTCAGCAATCCCTTGCTCCACTGTCATCCCCAGGAGCCCCAAGATTCAACATGCTCAAGGCCCCAGGAGAGGCATTTTAAAGACAACCTTTGCATACAGCAGAGCAGGCCTCTGGGCAAGGAGACAGCAGCCATTCATGGCTCCTAAAGCAGGCAGAGGGGCTCCAGTGCTGTATCTATACCCCCTTTGGTTGTTAGATGTCCCCAAAAGAGGGGTTAACAGAAACAATCTGCGCTGTTCAGGGGACTTGACACACAGCCCTTTTCCAGGGCAGGAAGAGCCAGAGATGTGTGTGCACAGACACTATGTTCTGAGAGCTGTATGGGGAACAGGCTCAGTGAAGGATCTACAGTACTTAGCATGGGTGGCAGTGGGACACCTACTACTTCCTCCTGTTTTCCAAGAGCCATGGCCCTGCTCCTGTCACCCTCAGACACCTTAATGGGCCCTGCACAGACCTGACTGTGGCCTCTTTCATGTGGCCACTTTTCCCCTCCAATGAGGGACTGCAAGGGCTAGAGAGAGAACTAGTTAGTGAGAAGGCTGTTGGAAACATCACCCAGCTGCTGCTGTATGAGCAGAGCTCAGGATTGCCTCCCCTACTGAGTGAGCTCTGTGTCTCATGGAAAAGGCTTTCCTAAAGGACAGGCTGCTGGGAGCCGTGGTGCTTTCAACATACAAGCGGCACTGGAAGGTGGTTGTGGTGAGTTGAACCCACAGCCCTAGCCCTCAGCTATACGATAGCACACAGACCATGAAGGAGTTAAGCATGCAGAGTGGCACCAGCAAACCCCATGGGCTTTGGGAATTAAAGGGACAGTGCCAGCTGATGACAAGAACCTCCTGAGTCTTCTATCCAAGTGACTGCAGCTCAGAGGAGCAGAGGTGGTTTTCCAGAGAAACAGGGAGAACCTCATTAGTAGAGAGACACCTAGCGGCATGGCCAGTGCTGCATCATGCATGAGTGTGCCAAACGTGGCTGAGAATCCTGCAAGATAGTCCACTGTCATCTTTAACAGAGGTGTGACCAGCAGAGACTCCATCTCCCAGCAGCCAATTCTCCTCCCTGCTTACTTAAGGATCACAGCTAGCGGCAGTTACTAGCAGAGCACCTGTCCTTCGAAAGAGGGAGACTAAGTGAGGAGCATTGCATGCTGGGATTTGTAGTCTGTGTGGGGCCTCCAATCCACGCTAGGTTCTATGTACATTAAGGGCAGGCCACACCAAACAGACCAATCAAAATGCAGTTAGTTTCAGAGCACAGTTGGGAGGCATTGGTGCCAGCTGCCCGTACTGGAAAGGGGAAAGGAGGAACTGCCAGATGGGGAGCGGGGCCCAGTCTAAGTCACCTCAGTGTTGCTGACTTTGTTGATGATGCGAGAGCGGCGGGGGATGCACTCTAGGTCGAACTTGCTCTCATAGATGGTGGGGCAGAGGTGCCAGCGATTGTCCCGGTAGATGCCTAGGTAGGTGTAGACATCAGGCTTGTAGGAGAGCAGGCACTTGACACCAGTGCCCCGGATGGCAGCGTCCGCATCCATCACCTTCTCCTCGTTGGTGAAGTCATCTGTGTAGATGCAGATGACATGCTTGCGGTCCGAGTTGGGGTAGCAGGGGCTGACTTTGGCCACCCCAAAGCGCCCCTCCAACACTGAGCGGGCGATGCCACTCCAGGCATGGTCCACCTTGAAGCCGGTATCCAGGTGCATCAGCCACTTGCCGGTGAGGACGCAGTGGTTGAGCGCCAGCTCGCGGATGGTGTCGAAGGTGACATGGCGCCCACTGATCTGGAGCCGCTCCCAGGCCTCCTGCAGCCCCACCACATCACCTGACTCTGGACAGTAGTTTGGACCGTAGATGGCAATCCAGCCCACAGGCTCAGTGCGGCGCTCGGGGTCCCCAAAACGAGACACTCGCGAGGGCTGGTAGGTCTGCAGCCACTCCTCGAACTCGGCCCGTGGGGTCTTTCGTGCATCAAACACCACCCAGGGATCCATGTCAGCTGCCATGGACTCAGCGGCCAGGTGCTCGGCCGAGAAGGCCCCTCCCTTCCCCATGTCACCATCATCCTGGTCTGACATCGCTCACTGGCCTGTGGAGGAGTGGAACCTAGGATGGAAGGGTCAGGGAGATGGGAAGCAACATGATGGTGCACCATCTAGCCCAATCTCCATAGCAGGACCCAGGACAGAATCAACCGCTAGAGTCCCTCTCCCAGGACCCTGCCCAGTATGAACAGAGATTTCCCCCACTCCCATTAGTACCCCCCATCTCCTCCAGGGGTCTGCTCACTATGGATGTAGACCATCCATTAGCTCCCATCTCCCCCACAGCAGGACTGTCCCCTATAGCCCATCCCACAGGGTCCTTGCCCACTGTTGATTGAGGTACCCCATTAGTTCCCATCCATGAACCAGAATAATTTACCTGCTATTCGTGGGCTTCTGGGGAAGTGAACACAATGCAGGATGGGCATCCAAATGCAGGATGAGCAATCAAGGGCTTGGAACGAGCAACACTAATTTAAAGACCACCTGGAAACCCAACTGAGGATGTGTGTGGCAGGCTGCTTGCTGTACATGCCCCACAAAGATGCTGCTTCGACTTTCCTATTAAAGAAAAATCATGGCTCACCGTGGAGGACAGGGAGCAGAGCACACTAAATGATCTGTACAGCCCAGTTAGAAACACAGCCATGCCAACAGGGTATAAACTCCAGATCGCCCACTGTGTCTTTTAAACTTGTCCTAGATCAGCTGCACTCAGCCACTTCCATATGGGGACCTTTCCCCACACAATACAGTGGGAAAGGCAGGGGGCACGACACAAACACTTCATGTACTCAGGCCAGCAACATCCGTTCCTTTGTCAGACCAAGAGCACTTGAAATGGCTTGTCCCGTGCCACTTAGTGATATTCCCCCACCCTGAAGATCCCTAGATTGTCATAGCACAGTGTCAATTTGAGGGTTATGACTCTTCTTCCCTCAGGAGATGCTGCTGGGGGTACAGAATGAGATACATCTCATCTTAGGGAGAGACAGTGGAAGTTAGTATCATTAACCTCTTTATTACAGATGGGATAAACTGAAAGGCTGAAAGACGAAGGGATTCATCCACCCAGCAGCTCTGACGCAGAGCTGGGAAGAGAACCCAGGAGTCCTGCTCCCCACCCCGCACCCCCATTCTAACCCACCAGAGCCCACTCCAGAAGCTGGGAAGAGAACCCAGGAGTCCTGCTCCCCCCCCCCCATTCTAGCCCACCAGAGCCCACTCCCCCCCAGAAGCTGGGAAGAGAACCCAGCCCCCCTTTCACTCTGAGCGAACGCGGAGCAAAGCCCGCGGGCCCCTCCAGGGCTGCACACGACGGCAGGGGACACCCCTCCCGCGCGCCCGCCACGCCCCCTCCTTCCCCCGCTGCGCCCCTCCCGAGACAGCTCCGCAAGCGCCCGCCCAGGGCCCAGCCTCACCAGCCCCTTCCCGCGCTCAGCTCCCGACCGCCCCCATACTGCAGCCTGCCCGCTCCGCCTCACACGGGGGTAACGACCACGGGGGCGGGGCCTCGGCCTAACCCGGATGGGGAAACGTGGAGCCAGGAGGGACGAAGTGAAAGACCCGGATGTCGTAGAACTAAGGGTGGAGTGGGAGGGAACTAACCAGGTAGGGGGCGGGACCTAGTGTACGGAAGCGGATTCGCTGGTGGATGGGGGCGGGGCTAAAGCAACCAATCCGCTCCAGCCTGAGCCCCCTCCCCCCGCCCAGCAGTTTGTGGCTGTGACTCCAGCGCGGTGCACTGTGTGTGTGCGTGCTCAGGCTCGTGGGGCCGGGCTGCAGCTGGTTTTGAGGTGGCCTATGGCGGAAAGTCAAGCAAGGCATCGCAGAGGGCCCAAGCCAGTGGCGGGCCAGTAGTATGACCCTGAGCGCTGTTCTGTGGGAATAATGGGTGTTAAACCCCCCCTCTGGGGCCATGAGACAGGGGCGCCTCACCAGGTGATGAGATGCAGCCACCTCTGGAATGGGACACAGGGACTCTTTATACAGGGCTCCCATGTAGCGGGGCACATGGCTGAGAGCAGGGGAAAGAGCCAATCACAGAATATGCGGGTTGGAAGGGACCTCAGGAGGTCATCTAGTCCAACCCCCTGCTCAAAACAGGGCCAATCCCCAATTTTTGACCCAGATCCCTAAATGGCCCCCTCAAGGATTGAACTCACAACCCTGGGTTTAGCAGGCCAATGCTCAAACCACTGAGCTATCCCTCCAAGGACATTCCTTCTGGGGCCCCTGGTGTTGGCCACTGTTGGAAGACAAGACGCCTTTGGCCGTTCTTATGTACATCAGTGCAAAAGCAGAGTCCCTCTGCCATCCTTAGTGCTCCACGGGTAAGGAGAACCTCAGACCCAATCTACCTGCTCAGGGAAAGGGAGCTTGCCTGAGACCCTCCATAGGGGAGGGGGGAAGACACAGGGATTTCATAGACCCCCATCTCTGGCGGTGAGGGTCAACCTGGTGGTGGGGATCCTCCATCTTCCAGGGATGGGGAGTTGCTGGGGAGCAAACAATCCCAGGGAGCCCATGTCTCAAGAACTGGGCGGCTCTTGGAAGGCCTCCGTGATGGGGGACTCCAGGCGTCTCCAGCATGGAGGAGGGGCTGTAAGATCTGCTTTTTCTTGGGGGGCTGGAAGGGGGAGAAGAGAGGAGGGGCGGAATAGCAGATGGAGGACACCCGTCCTGGTGGGTGGTAGAGAGAGCAGAGTTGTGAGCCCCCAGGTCCTGGCACTGCGGGGAGGGGGACCCTGAGGCAGGCGGGGAGACAAGGGCTGGCCCTGGAGGTGGCATTGCAGGACCCGGTCCCGGGAGAACGGAGAAAATGCGGTGGGGGCACCAGTTCCGGGGGGCGGGGATGGGGAGACCGGGGACGGGGGACGAAGGAGAGTCACAGGGTGGCACCTGTGCTAGGGACGAGGGGGCCCCCTGCGCCGGGGGGCGGCTGGAAAAGGGAGGAGTCCGGGGGGCAGGGCAAGTGGATGGAGTCAGCCCGGCGCTGGAGTGTTCCGGCGGCGCTAGGACCCTGGCGGCCGGTTCGGCGGCGGGCGACGCCGGGAGCCGGCGGGGTGGAGCGGGGCGGGCGGGGGTCGCTGCTGCCGCTGCTGGAGCCTGAGCCCGAGCCCCGCGATGCCGAGCAAGAAAAAGAAATACAACGCGCGCTTCCCGCCGGTGAGTGCGGGCCCGAGCCTCCCGGCCGGCACCCCGAACTCCAGCCCGGCCTAGCGCCACCCTCGGCCCCCCCAGCCCCAGCTCCCGAGCCGGCCTAGCGCCCCCCGCGCCCCGGCACCCCTAACCCCAGCCCCCGGGCCGGCCTAGCGCCACCCTCGGCCCCCCCAGCCCCAGCTCCCGGGCCGGCCTAGCGCCCCCCCGCCCCGGCACCCCTAACCCCAGCCCCCGGGGCCGGCCTAGCGCCCCCCCCGCCCCGGCACCCCTAACCCCAGCCCCCGGGCCGGCCTAGCCCCCCCCGCCCCGGCACCCCTAACCCCAGCTCCCGGGGCCGGCCTACCCCCCCCCCCGGCACCCCTAACCCCAGCTCCCGGGGCCGGCCTAGCCCCCCGCCCCGGCACCCCTAACCCCAGCTCCCGGGCCGGCCTAGCGCCCCCCCTGCCCCAGCACCCCTAACCCCAGCCCCCGGGCCGGCCTCGCTCCCCCCGCCCCGGCACCCCTAATCCCAGCTCCCGGGGCCGGCCTAGCGCTCCCCCCGCCCCGGCACCCCTAATCCCAGCCCCGGGGCCGGCCTAGCCCCCCCCGCCCCGGCACCCCTAACCCCAGCTCCTGGGGCCGGCCTAGCCCCCCCCGCCCCGGCACCCCTAACCCCAGCTCCCGGGCCGGCCTAGCCCCCCCCTGCCCCAGCACCCCTAACCCCAGCCCCGGGCCGGCCTAGCGCCCCCCCTGCCCCAGCACCCCTAACCCCAGCCCCCGGGCCCGCCTAGCACCCTCTCAGCACCCCTAACCCCAGCCCCAAGGCCGGTCTAGCGCCTCCCCCCTGGCACCCCTAACCCTAGCCCACCCCCCCCAGCCGGCACCCCCGGCCTGGCCTAGCACCCCCCCCGTCACCCTAACCTGACCCCCCTGGGCCGGCCTAGCATCCCCCTAGCACCCAGCCTCTTTGTCCCAAAGCCTGGACCTCCCAGGCCCAGTCTTCCTCTTCCTTCCCTTGCCTCCCTTTACTGGTCTCAGTCCAACATTGTCTTCTTCCCCCAAAGTGCCCCCATAGGGATGCTCCTGCTGCCTCCTCTTTTATAGGGTCTCCTGTCCCCCTCAGAGACATGCTTGCACTATCCACTTCTCCCTTTACTGCGTGCATCCTATATAGGACTCCCCTGCTGTCCCATAAGGATTTTCCTACTACCCTCTTTCCCCTAAAGGGATCCCCACTGCCCCATATAGAGATTCCACCTCATACCACCCACTGGTAATCCCCACAAGGATGCCCCTTCCCTCTGAAGACCCTTCCCCCTATGATCTGGCCTCATTATGTTGATCTCCCACCTCTTCAGGGATCCTCTGGGAACCTCCTTCCTGATCTCCCCTCCCATGACCTCTCTGGTCAGTGCCCCCAACCCATATAGGGGTCTGGCTCTTCATGAACACCCCCCTAACCATTATGAACTTCCTCCCTCACACAGAGACTCTTTCCTCCCTCCAAAGGATGATGAATTCCCCCCACCTATCCTTTGGGACACCATCTCTGGTGGGCCAACAGGGGGAATGTGTGCCGTTCAGACTCTCCTGTCCAGTGGGACTGTGGTCTGCCTTAGGATTCTTGGGTTCTATCCCTGGTTCTGGGTGGGGAATGGGGTCTAGTGGGTTACAACGTGGCCAGAGGGGTGTGCGGGGGAAGGCAGGGTGCATGGGAGCCAGGACTCCTGGGTTCTAGCCCCAGCACTGCCATCTGTGCTGTCCTGGTAAGGGTGGAAGGGACACTTCCCTCTGCCCACCTTTACATAAAATGGGTTAATTCCGGACCCGCCTCCCCGGGGACTCTACTGTAGGGCAGAGGGCCTCCGTCAAAAGGCGAAAGGTTCTTATTGGAATGGCAGGAGGGGGCTGCTACTGTGGAAGAAGTGGATAGATTTACTGTTTATAGGCCTCCTTTTCCCCTGGGATTCAGTGGGGCCTACTCACACCACAAAGCACACCTTTTCTATCTTTGTCACATCTTCAGCAGTGGGGTAGGATGGGAGCTGAAAGCATCCTGGTCAGTTTCACCTTCTCTTCCCTGTCAGTTTCATTTCCTCCTTTCCTGGGTTGGGGTCCCTGATGCCAAATGGGGAACCTTCCTCCCCCTTCCCCCCCCCACCAAATGAGTGAAATCTGCTTTGCCATCTTCAAATGATTAAATATCCAGGATCAGGCCTTTAATAAAAAAAATCAATGGGGGGGGGGGTATTTTATTTTCCTTTTGGGCTGGTGGGGAGGAGCTTTTAAGGGTCAAGATGTTAAGCTTTAAATAAAACCTGTGATTCTTCCTGCATCTCTTGAGTCTACAAGCTGGGTATTTATACTGTGAAATTGATGGTAAGATCATAAGAGTTGGCAGCAAACTGAATCTAGTCCCCATCCCCCGTCAGTTCCCAAAGCTATGGTTCAGACTTTGTGGTTAAGGCACCGGGATGGGGCTGGAGATCTGTGTTCAGAGCCTGGCTGTGACTTTGGGCAAGACATGTCTCTTAGTGCCTCAGTTTCTCCATCTGTAATCTGAGGATAAAACTTCCTCTATTTAGACTGTGAGCTCTGTAGGGCAATGACTGCCTCACTCTGTGTCTGTGAAGCGCTTGGTGCAACAAGGGCCCTGAACTTGGGTCAGGGTCCATGCAGTGCCTGGCACAATGGGGGTCCCCTAATCTCGGGATGGGGTCTGGTCAGTGCCCAGCACAACAAGGAAGCTCCCAATCTCAGATCAGATTTATTTTCAATGGCTTGTGCTCAGCTTTGGTCCTCACAATTTATGCCTGGGTTGTGACAGCTGACACCTTGTGGTTTGCCCCTTAGCTGTGTGTAGGAGATATTATTGCCTTGTGACATGGACACAAACATCCTTTGGTTTCGACACAATCCAGTCCAGTGGAGAAAAGGGCGTTGATTCTGCATCCGGAGGGGTGGATCGCGAGTCTGGACACTATCTTGTGAGGGGAAACAGGAGGCCCTGCTGCACTGCTAAGCCACAGGGCACAAGAAGGGCACACAGAGCCATAATCGGGGCAGGGAATAGCTCTGGTGTGAGGCTACCAGTGCCCTTGGGTAGAGGTGATGTTCCATGGGGGTTGGGCAAGCATGGAACAAGTTGACTGTTCTCAGCCTTGGCCCCTGCCTGACAACCACCCACAGTCCCCTAGTCACCACAGAGGCTGAGGAGCCAGTGACCCATGGAGGCTTTGCTCTTGTGTCAACCCCCGCGGGAGCAACCACCTCCCTGGGGACGCAGGGAAGGATGACCCAGGGAAGGGGTGACAATGTAATGTATGAACTGGAGAGGTGCATGGCATCTGTGTCCGGGAATCTAAAGTCACTTGAGAGGAGTGGGGTCGAGTGGTTAGAGCAGAGGGCCTGGGAGTACAAATCTAGCCCTAGGTCAGGGACTGTCTGGTTCCAGGGGGCATGGAATGGGATCTGGGGCCTTTTGCTGTTAGGGCAGCAGACTGGCTGGTTCAGGGGAATGGGGAATGAGTTATGGTGCCTTTCCCCTCTAGGGGGCACTCTCTCTGGTCCACACAGCCATGTCCCTGGCACTGAATGTTGATAGGAGGGTGGGACACCCCACCCCTGATATTAACTGTTTCTTCTTGTCTCCCCTCCAGGCCCGGATCAAGAAGATCATGCAGACAGATGAGGAGATTGGGAAGGTGGCCGCTGCCGTCCCTGTCATAATATGTATCCTTGGGAGTGCTGTGTTGCCCAGCTCCCACTCCTGAAACCCCAATTGTTGCCTTGTGGTCTGGCCAATCCTGAGGGATCTCCCTCCCAGCCAGGCTTGGGTCATCATCCTGTAGGTTTCAATGCCCTGGCTGGTGGCTAATTACAGCAGCAGGTTAGACAGAGAATCAGAGGTAGCTCATCTAGTGGCGGGAGGAGGCTGGAAGTCATAACTCCTGGGTTCTCTCCTAGCTCTGGGAGGGAGGTGGTCTTAGACTGGGGGGATGAGAGGGACTGGGAGCCAGGTCTTCTGGTTCTATCCCCACCTCTGGGAGGGGAGGAGGGCTAGTGGGTCAGAGCAGGATGGGGGAAGGCTGGGAGCCAGGATTCTTGGGTTCTATCCACATGAACAATGATCCTAGTACAAGCAGTGTTCTGTTCTGATCGCAGTGCTGAGTTCCCTTAACCCTTGGCTTGCCCTAGCCCGGGCGCTGGAGCTCTTCCTGGAGTCGCTCCTCAGGAAGGCCTGTCAGGTGACACAATCCAGAAATGCCAAGACCATGACCACCTCTCACCTGTAAGTACCCTACTTCCACCTGCATTCCCCCCGCTTCTGCCCAGCTGGGGACTTTCTCACCTAACCCCCGCAGTACTGGAGCAAAGAAATGCCAGATCTACTCCACAAGCAGACCTGCCCTGCTACAGAAAGACCTCTCCCACTTTTCTTGGAGCAGGGGGCTAGGAGCCAGGACTCCTAGGTTTGGTTCCCCGCTTTGCCACTGTGGCACTTCTGGACAGTCCCTTCCCCTCCTCTATGCCTCAGTTTCCCCCCTTTTCAACTGGGTGGGAGGCGGGGGTGAAGCACTAATCCCGAGCAGGGCTGAGGCTCATGGAGGTAATGGTGATTATTGTGTTGTTATGGAGGGGGAGGAGGGGCTTTGAACACTGCATCCCCAGCTGGGATGGATATACCATGGGGGTCTCTAGTAGCCCTCAGGAAGCCAATAGGGGCTGGGGGTCAGGTCCCCAGGGTTTCTGGGGGTGGAGGTGCTGCAGTCCCCTCCCCCAGAGTCTGAGCTGCTCTCCGCTCCCTGCAGGAAGCAGTGCATAGAGCTGGAGCAGCAGTTCGACTTCCTCAAGGATCTGGTAGCCTCGGTGCCTGACATGCAGGGAGATGTGGAGGATAACCACGCTGAGGGCGAGAAGGTCTCCAGGAGGTGGGCAATAGGAGGCGCTGCGCTACAGGGAGCGGGGCAGAGGCTCAGTAGGGGGTGCTCTTCTCTTACAGCCAGTGCTGGCCAATGGATGCCCCAGTGTGCCACCGGGAATGAGGCCCCTAGGGGCTCACTCTCCCTTCACAGCCAGTGCTGGCCTCGATGCCCCAGTGTGCTGCAGGGGGCGGGGTGGGACTCAGTACCGGAAGTGCCCCCTTTCAGTCACTGCTGGCCCCAGCACAGTACTAGGGGGTGCTGTGCTGCAGGAAGACATGGACAGATGGTGGTGGTCACTATAGATGCTATCGCACTTCACTAAGAATCTGGAAATGAACTCCGGTGTCGTAGCTCAATTCCCATTCTGCTGATTCCATTCTGCCTCCCCAAACCCCCGCTCTGCCATCAGAACTAGGTGCGGGGCTTCTCTTTGCTTCCTACCCTGAACCTGTGCAGTGTTGCTGTGTGTTGTTACTCCGCCACCATGCCCCACACCAGAGATGTCTACACTCCAGTGATGTGGCAAAGCGATTCCTAAATACCTCTTCCCTGTTGCGTCCCGCGGGGGACTGGCCCACGTCATAGGTGACTGTCCCAGTGGGGAGTGCTGTGGCCGGGTTGGGAGCTTGGGAGGAGGAACCCCAAAGCGTTGCTGAAAGGCATTGGGGTGGTATGTGGCCGGGAGCCCTGATGTGGAGTCCGGGGACTGGCTGGGTGACCCTGGGATGCGGTCAAGGGATTCCTTCTGCACCAATCTCTGCTGGAGCCCCCATCCATTGGCAGTGCCCCCATGACTCCTTGGTCTCTCTCCGGACATAGGGGCCGGAAGCCGGGCAGTGGGCGGAAGAACGGCGGCACTGGCAGCAAAGGAAAGGACCCGAAGCAGTCAGGCACGGACTCCGAGCAGGAGGTGAATCTGGCAGGAGGTGTCTCCCAGCCCACAGGCTGCGTCCTGCATGCAGCAGTGCCCCCTTCTGGCTGAGCCTTGCTGAGGTGCATGGGGAGCTGAGTGAGAGGGGTAGTCCCCCGTGGGGCACAGATGGTGAAGGGTCTGGAATGCCGTCCCCTCCCCATCTTTGGAGGTTGCCCCTCCTGGCTGCCTCCCTGTATGATCTATGGGCTGGGTGTCCCAGGAGGGGTGTAGGGTCTGGTGGTTACAGCAGGGGGCGGTGCTGAGAGCCAGGACTCTTGGGTTCTATTCCGAACCAGGGTGCGTCCTTTTCCCCTCTCTCTGCTTCAGTTTCCCATGGGGCCAGCTCTGGGGAGCATCAGTCACTGTGTCCCTCAGATGGTGCCATCTCCATGCTGAGCCCCTGCTTACCCTGCCCCCACAGGAGGATTCTGAGGACAGCGAGAGCGATGGGGAGGAGGAGACGTCCCAGTCCACGCCCCCCAGCCGCCCCACCACCCACTTTCCCAGGTACAAATCGGGGCCTGCCAGCTCAGTAGTGCTGACGGGCTGGGCAGTGTTGCCTAGTGCTTAGATCTTGGACTGGGGGAGGGGGGGAAGACTTCTGGGTTCTATCCCTGATTCAGGGATGGGAGTGGGATCTAGTGGTTAGAGCAGAGCATTAGCTACTTAAGGATAGTGATAACTAGAAACCTAACAGCAGTAAGTATGATCAGATGGAGCCTGACCTCTGGGGGACTGTGTTACGGGGTAGGGGCATACCAGGCTGGATGAGCTTGTTGCACTGATGGAGGGGGTGGCTACCAGACTAGATGGGACTATAGGTCTAATCCAGGGTGGGGATACTGGAAGGGCCCATGGATCGGATTGGGCTAAGGGTTGGGGTGAGGGATACGGGGTAGATGATCTCCCCTCCCCCACAGTAACCTTCTTCCTTCTCTCCTCCCTGGCTCCAGCTCTCCGGCGCCATATTTGCACTTCACCTGCCCCCCACAGTCCACCATGGCCATGCCTGTCTCCGTTCCCCCGGCCCTGCCTGCCATGATGCCCTCTGCGCCAGCACCCCCTGCCCCAGCACAGGATGAGGAGGAGGAAGATTATGACTCGTAGCCCCGTTTCCTTTTAGTTTGTTTTAGTTGCTGCATTCGGGGGGGAGGGGGTGGTTCTTAAATTTATTAAAAAAAAGAGAAAAGCATTTTACCTCCACGTGGTTTGTTTTTATTGTGTCCCTGGGTTGGGCTCGAGCCCCTGATTCTCAGAGCCCAGATCGCCTCATCCCTCCCCGCTGCTCTCATCCCTCTCTGTGGCGCCTTCCCCAACAGACAGAGCACCACTGAGCCAACCCAGTGATTAGCTGCTGGTGTCTCCAGAGATGGGAATGGGGACAAAACAGCCACCCCAGCTTGTGAAACCTCCCCCTGCCCTTTCCTTGTGGCTTGATTTCTCTCTCCTCAGCCCCAAGGATCAGGGATGTCTTTCCCAGAGAGTGTAGGCCTAGTGCTTACATTGATGTTACGGGTGTGATCTAGGCTTTGTCTAGGACATTCAGTTCCATTCCAGGCCTCAGTGTTGTCAGTCTGTCAGATCACGGGGCTCTTTGGTTTTGGGCAGGATTTTTTTAAGTGGTGCCCTCAGCTCTGCCCCCACCCAGCAACCATGGCTCTTGGTGGGCAGCTGGGCTCCATTTTTCTTAGAAACAGGATATTCGGTTCCACCTCAGCCCTGGTTCGGTGTCCCCCTTTTCTCTGCCCCCGACACTGCTCTCTCAGATCCTGGGGTGGTGGCCTCTTTGTACTGGCTGGTCCTACATCCATTGGAGGAGGGAGAGGGACACAGTGAATCTCACAAGCAGCTTCTTCCCCTGCCCCCCATCACTGCATGTGAAATTCACTTGGGTCTGATGATTGGTTTGGGATGAATCTGAAGTAGGGGGATGTAATTAGGGCAGGGAAAGGATTCCCCCCCCACACACACACATGAAAGGACTGTCTCTGGGCATGTCTATCCTGGGCTTAACTGTATCTGCCACTGGAAGATGGTCCTGTGGTTTCACCCATCAGAATCCCCCCCACACGCCCGGCTGCCTCGATTTCACCCCCGGGATGGGGGCGGGAAATCTGTGAGATATGGGGCTTTTAAGCACTCTTTTTAAAAATGAATGTCCTGGGCTCTGTACGTTCTCATTCCTTTATGCCATTTGCGCGTTCCCCCTCCAAGTGGGACTGGGAGCCAGGACTCTTGGGAAGGGAGTGGGATCTAATAATTAGAGCAGGGAAGTGCTGGGAGCCAGGACTCCTGGGTTCTTTTTCCCCCTCTCCCTCCCTCCCAGTCCTTCCCTCCCTGGATATTTAGCAGATTATATCTCCATTCTTTTATTGTTGCTAAACCCCAGGGCTCCATCACCCTACCCCGGTGCAGCGTAATCCTAAGGAGCAGGAATTCCCACAGCTCCTTTTCACCCCGGTCTGTCCTGTTGGGAATGGGTTGTTTCCATGAACAGGGTGGGTCCTGGCACCCCTTCAGGGCAGGGGGGCTTTAAGCTATCTTGGGGTGGGGAAAAGAGGGATGCGGGGTTAAATGCTGCGTGGCTTGCGGCCACCTTGAGAGCTGGGACGCTGCGACTTTTAACGCATTTGTTTGATTTTTTTGTATTGACTCAATAAAGTTCTGATTTCACTAGAATCCGTCCGTGTTTAGGATGAAATTTACAATGGGCTGGTTCTTATTGGAGAAGGGCAACAGAGCTGGCCAGGACTCCTGGGTTCTATCCCCAGCTTTGGTAATGATTCAGTGTGGTAGGGGAGAGCTCTGTCAGGTTGTTTGGAATGAGCTGTGGGCTCCTTGGCAGCTGCAGGGACTGGTCCAGCATCCCTGCTCCCAAACATCAGCCTCATTGGCCTGGGCTACATCCCCCAACCCCTTCCCTCCCCCCGCTTTGGCCTGGGCTATGGCAGACATCCCACCCTCCAGCCAGGTGAGATCCCACCCCACTCCCCATTGACATAGGCTGGTAGTTTGTCCCCCTACCCCTGCAGACTGCGCCCCTACACACTGAGATTACTCCCATCCCCTGCACCCTGGGCTGAAGTCCCCTCTGTACCTCCCCAGATGTGGAAGGCTTAGGGATACCTAGTGCACATGTCTGCAACCCCACCCTAATCTTGGGTGCCTCCCCCGCTCCCTCTGGAGAGAAGTCATCAAGGAACTAGCTTCTAACCCCCTTCCATCTAACTGTCCCCCCTCCACTGCAGTTCCAGTCTCTTCCCAATCCCCTGGTGTAAGTGCATCCTCCTCCACAGCACCTGCCTCCCTGTCCTCCTGCTGGGCTGGTGCCCCATCGTCTCTCTCCAAGGGGGAGCAGGGAGGTAGCTGCATCCCTGGAGGTGTGTGTGCGGGGAGTCTCGCTCCCTGTTCTAAGTGCCTTGGAAAAAGCTCACAAGCAAATTCCTGTTCTTCTCTGGGAGGATCAGCCCCTAGAGGGAGAGACAGTTCACCTTATCGCTATGCACACCACTATGTAGGAACTGGTGCTAGAATCGGGAGTGTCAGGATTCCTGGGTTCTCTCCCTGTCTCCTCCCCTGGCTCTGGGGGGCGAGAGGACAGGCTAGAGAGAGCCCAGCCAAATGTAGTCTTCAAATCAAGGCTGGAGACCTTTCCTGAAGAGCCAATCACAGGCTCCTGGGCTCAGTAGAGGGCTGCCCTGGGCTATGAGAGACAGGAGCTCAGACTGAATAGGCTAATGTTCCCTTTGTCGTAGCTGTCTGCAGGGCTGTAGCCCTCCTGGTCCCAGTATATTAGAGAGACAAGGGGATGGTCCCATTGCAGATATTACCTCACTCCCTTACGTTTCTTTGCACCAGTGACTGTCCTGATCCTGGTGCTCAGCAATGGGATGTCTGTGCTGGCTGACGCTAGGTCAGAAAAGGCACTGGCAAAATGAACAGATGTTAGGAGAGGAACCATGGGAGTTTTCATTTGACTCCCGGAGTTTCTGGGGGGCATCTCATAATGCATGGATGCATAAACGGGAATCTCAAGTAGGAGAAGGGAGGTTCTGTTACCTCTCTATTCGGCACTGGTGCTGCCGCTGCTAGAATCCTGTGTCCAGTTCTGGTGCCCACAGTTCCAGAAGGATGTTGCTAAACTGGAGAGGGGGCCAAGAGCAAAGTGGTGGAATGTTACACCATGGGCTCCCTGCCTTGAATGCTGTGTGGTGAATTCGAACTGATTCAGAGCTGTATGGCTGCAAGGAGAAGGACTGTAGCAAAGGGGTGTGGACGCACTTCAATTCACTGCGATTACATTGCGGCGTTTTGAGTGAGCAAACCACACTGCTGTAACATCACCATGAAGACATGGCCTTAGGATGTGCCCTCTTGTTGGGTCCTAGGCAGGGAGCAAACCTGGGAATTTCCTGATTTGAAAGGATGACGTTCTGCCCATCGAGGTACAGGACAATGAATGGGAGTGCAGAGGCAGCAGCCGGTATGAGCTCTTGCCACCAGAGAACACTCCACGCAGTGTTAGCAGGGAGTACACAAGCACATAGTTTGGGCCATTCCCTCTGAAAGGCAAAGTGACTGAGACCTGGGCCTGTGGGTGGGTTATGCCCAGCTCTGCCTGGGGTGTCCTTACTTGTGCAATGATTGCACGATTGTTGCATCACTAAGGCTGGGGTGTGAGGCCTTGTTCTTTGGACTGTGAAGGTAACCTGATCACAGCTGTAGGACCTTGGGTGGTATCCATGTGCTGAGGCGCTGAGACCCCACAGAACTCATTGCTGATGTAGGTCTGGAGCAATGGGGCAAGCAATGCAGCCATTTCTCCATCCACTGCCTCAGCCAGAGCAAGGGGTGGGTGCTGGAGCCCATCCACCTAGCCCCCACTGCCACATCCCCCTGCAGCCTCCAGGGCCCCCAATCTCCCAGGATACCAAGGGGCAGCACACCCAGCTGATACCCCTGCAGCGTCCCAAGGTGTCTCTCTCCTCCATCTCCTCAGCTGCCAGGGGTCACCCCCTCCCCAGCTGGGACCAGCCCCCCAGAGAGAGGGAGCCCACGCACACTTATCTCCCCTACGCCACCTTAAGAAGGTATGACCGCCCCACACTGCCCCCGCCTGGGGAGTGACGAGTGGGAATCCCAGCGAATGGGAGCGAGGACTGCGTGCCTGGTGCCCAATGGGGAGGAGGGGTATGGAATAGCTCTCACAACCGATTTAAAGAGACAACACCCTCCGCCCGCGCGCCCCCCCCCCCATTCCTAGTCAGCTGATGAGGCCTGGGCCTGGGTTCATCTACAGGGCATCCTGGGCCGCTCTCTTCCTGGGGGCGCATGGAGGAGCCGCTGGAGATGCCGCCTGGGGAGGAGAGCAAGGTGAGCCTGGGACCACGGCGGGGTCCTGCATTCGCCACCCGGGAGGGGCAGTACCCTGCATCCTGCTGCCCCCCGCGCCCGGTGCCCCGGGTCGGGCATCGCCCTGCATCCCCCCCCCCCCCCGTTGGGTGCTCCCATATCTGACCCTCTTCTCTTCCCCAGCCTTGCTCACCCTCGGAGGAGCTCGCCACTGACCCCTCCTTGCAGGTTGAGATCTCAGACGCAGTCAGCGAACGGGACAAGGTGAAATTCACTGTCCAGACCAAGGTGAGGGGGAGTATGGGGTGAGGGGATTGGAGAGACAGGGTGGAAGGGGTCCCTTATGGGGGGTCTCCCACCATCGGGCTCTGATGTTTGGGGGGTCTCTGGGGAATGTCTCTAGTGAGGTTTGAGGGTCCTTGCCTTGGGTGTCTCCATTTGGGGTGGTCTCTGGGGGATCCCTGGTTTGGGGAGGTCTCTGGCAGGTCCACATATTGAAGGGGATTCTGGGAGTCCCAGGTTTGGAGTGTCTCATCCCCTGCCCCCCTGTTGCAGAGCTCCCTGGCCGACTTCAACCGCCCAGCGCTCTCTGTGGTCCGGCAGCATGAGGACTTTGTTTGGCTGCACGACACCTTCTCTGAAAATGATGAATACGCTGGCATAATTGTGAGTGGAGGGGAGGAAGGGGACCGGGGGACAATGTAAAGGGTGAGAGGGGATATGGGAATCATGGTAAGGAGGACATCTGGGAGGGCATGGGGCAGGGTGTCATAAGGGGGAACATCATGTCAAGTGCTGGTGTCTACAACTCAAGAAGGCTATTGCTAAATTGGGTTCAGAGAAGA